TTGATGTGGCCCATAGACATCTACATCTATCCTCGTTTGCGAATCGAAATGCAGATGACCCGTGAGGTCTTAGATGGAATACCTCTTTTCCAGTAAAAAGAATCTCCGGTTCTCTTCACTCATTATACGAAACACAAAAATAGCAGCTTAATACTGCTGTATTAAGCTGCTATTTTACGCTGGTATTCTGTGAAAGCGTAGTGGTCCTTCCCCGGTCGAGCCGACCCATTCGTGCTACAACTGTACCACTAATATAGATGCAGCATGGCTCTACCACGTATGATTTCGTTTTAATTTGAAGTACCACCTGATGGTAAGAGTTTCTTTAGCCCATGAACATTTGCAACCAACTTCATACTAAGAAGACTATAGATTCGTTGTCACCTATGAGGACTAAGATGGAATATCTAACAGCCTGTTAATCTATTTGCTTGTGCCCTTCGGACTGGAACACAAAAGTACACACATTGCTATTTTTTATATTTACCTACTTAATTTATATTATTATTTACCTACACATACGAATTTCTAGACCGAAATGGAGTAATGTAATATAAACGGATTAATAATAATAACTATGTAATAGTAACGACTACTTATTTATATTTTGAAACAAAATAAAAGAATTCAGTATAATTAGTAACCTAATATTTAACTGAATTCCCTACAAACATTCATTCTTACGATATGAACATATTATGTTGCCGTCATTTATTTACACCTGACAGAATATTCAGACGTTTATATCATCGCACATAGCACGATTTCTTCAAAAATAAAAATATGACAATAGTTTAATGGGAATAATTCCACTCTTTAGATTTCAGTCCATGAATATTCTATATTTGTTTTCACACATTTTATACCAAGATAATTTTACTCTCGCTTACTTGCTACGTAAATAAGAATAATTTGATATGATAAAAAATTAGAAGCTATGTTGATTAAATGAAATTAATTTTTACGGATTCCATCGCCTTTAATTTAACTTTTTAATTCCCGACGTTTCGGGTGCCTTACAGCACCCATGGTCACGGGGGAGGAATGAGGTGTTTGACGTCCCGATGTCATAGTTAGCCCGGCTACCTTCAGTTTTAGAATATTAATTTTGGTCCGATCTACGCAGAATGAGCTTAAAGTACCTTGAAGTATTTCAGTCAAGCAGATCGCAGCACCCATCCATCTTCTCTATTGAAATTAGGATGTTTTTTTAGTTTCAATAGCCTCGCGAATCATCCCTGGTAGGAATCGGTGTTCTTTTGCGAGGTTTTGTGGTCTATAAAATCTCTATAATTATTTTATATTTCTATTAAATTTTTACAAAATAATCTTATATAATGGCTGGGACTATCTTGAACATTTTCAAATACTGCAGAACTATTTTGTATAGTTATTTTTTTTTTTCGGCTGAGAAATCTCGAAATTTCGGTGTTTGAGCAGCCTTGTTATAGTTTATTTTACTAAATAGACTGCCTCACTCACTCACTTCGGGTTCAGCTGACATCGTGAATGGATACTGTATCGATTGTTTGCAGCAGCTCGTGCTAAAAAAAGATCGCTGTAAAAATAAAAAACATAATCGATAAACCAAATTTGATACATACTTGATTATTATTAATATATAATGAATATGTAATAGTACTACATACTAAAAGTAAGTAGAATTTATATATAAATATACTTAAATACGTCTTGGAGTTTATGGAGTGAGCTCAATGATGATATGATGATCATAAGAACAATCGTGCACTTTTGGATTATCCAAACTTTATTTTTAAATTGAAGTTTGACATAAATTATCGGAAAATTGGAAGTATAGTAATAAGGTTATTAGTGAAAATTGTGTGCATTTCAACTGCTGTAAAAAAATTACGTATTAGATTTTATAATTAGTTATTTTTAATGCGCCTAAAGCGTCTCCCACACTGAAGCAGCTTGCGGTGGCGACTAACTGCGAGCCGCGGCTTCAGCCGCTGCAACAACATACAGTCGCAGCGGCGGCCTGAAGCACCATTCGCTGAGGTGTCTGTGCTACGATTGGACGTCAGTAACATGACTACCTGTGGCGAAGAATTATGTTCAGCAATATTATCATATATTTTGTTTTTAATTCTAATGTTTTTATAATCACGTTGCGAATTATCATAACGTACTGGATAATTTTGCAGTTTCTATTAAAATCTCTGAATTTAGCACCATTTTTCACGCGGTACATGCGGCCTGTTGAAATAATTTGCAAGTGACCGCGCTAGGGCCACCGACTGACCGCGTACTCACTAACACACACGCATTGGCGGAAGGGGCGGAGCATGCGGCCGCGGCCAGCCGCTGGCAGGCCGCGCCATGGTCGCACGAGTGTGCAGACTCACTTACATTGCAAGCGAATACAACTGGCCGCCACCGCAAGCCGCTTCTGTGTGGGAGACGCTTAAGGCATGCACAATAGGGTTTAACAATAGTTTATTTAGAAATATTGCCAAAAATATAATTACTACGTACATTTGTGTGACGCGTTCGGACAGACGGACGGACGGAAGGCAAAACTATTAGGTTTCCTTGTTATTTAACTACGGAACCCTAAAAAGCATATCCTTGGGACACTACATGTCCATATTTTTATTTTATTTTAGGACACGCATTTATTTCCTTAAGATGTTTCCTTATACTGCCGGCATTGTATTATTAATAAAAACAAAAAATATAAAATTAGACTGTATAATACAACTCTCCGTACATTAACACATATCTTTTATTTTCTCTTTGGAATTGGATGAATTTGTAGCAACATTAAAATATTGTAAGGTTTTAAATATTCTTTTAAATCAATGTAATATTTGAAGCACCAGAAAAGTTGTTAATATTTGTGAGAAATATATTTTTTAGCCTTGTACTTATTAAAACAAATTCCTTTTTATAGAGAAAACTCACTACTGAAATTGAAACATGGGTCGTATTTGACTTAAAACAGATTTGCCTCGTCTATGTCTACAAAAAAAATCATTTTCATTTTTCACACAAGATTGTATCATTTTTAATATTTCTTAGTTTTATTTAAGCTAAAATATAAATATTATGATTGAAATAAAATATATACTAGAACAATGAATCTAAAACTAAAAACCTTAAAAATATAATATAATAACTAAAATTTATTATTAAAAAGGAGTCCCTTTAGGCAAGGTTCCGAAAATGCTGGCAGCGTTCCCCCTTTGAATAGCTAGACTAATTCTTTGTCCGAGGTAGCTGCCAGCTTTTCGGTCTCCTGTGATGTCGACTAACCTTTTTGCTATTTCCTTGAAAAACCTTATAGCGCTAGGACCCCACGGACCAAGGGTCTCGACACCGAATGGGACAAAATCATATTCGGAGCCTAGACCCCTATATTTAAATGCTTTAGCTTTTTCAGCCGCTTCACAAGCCGCACCAGCTCTGTTGTTGGTTCCATGAAGATGGGAAGGGGCCAGCGTGTCTGAACAGGTTGCATCCCATACCAGCACCCGGCCCATCTTCCATGGAATCAAACTCATACCGTCCGGTCTCTTGCCATCGTCTCTTGCAATACCAGACGGCTCAAGTAGGCTTGGCACGTTGACGGTGGCAAGGGACCGGCGTATGATATCGTTAAGTGCGGCATGTCTCGAGAAGCGGCCTGCACATTTTTGGCATGACAGTCCGTGATGTCCTAGCTTATCGACATCACTTAGTTTTATTATGTTATTTATTATACATATTTATTATAATTTCACATTTTTTCAAATTGTACGATTCCTGTTTTGTCTACAATTAACAAGCAATGCAAATTTAAAAGCAACATTAGCCTAATGGGTTGGACTAATGGACGATTCGAATCGTCCATTCGATGACTGTGGAGAGGCACTTCTAAAAGAAGCATTTTAAGCTTACTACCTAGTAAGTAGTAGTAGTTAACATGAGTACTGGGGGCGGAGTGGGTGCCCTACCCTGCGCTCTTTTGAGAAGGGGGCAGGGTTTTGTTGCAGTGCAATGGGGCCATAATCGGCTGCTACTTCTCTCCCAACAGGTCCCTTGCCGACTACGAGGCGTACCTGGAAGAGGTGGCGAACTGCGTTCGCAGGTGCCAACCCCGTCCTTTAATCGTCTTGGGAGATTTTAACGCCCATTCTAGGGCCTGGGGTAACACCAGAGACGATCCGAAGGGAGAGACCGTATGGAGTGGGCGGCTGGACTGGACCTCCGACTAGCGAATGTGGGGTCCATAAGCACATGTGTGCAATGGCAGGGGGAGTCCATTGTGGATCTAACGTGGGCTACTCCTCCTGCAATGCAAATACTGTCAGGGTGGCGAGTGGCGGAGGAGGCGGTCACATTGTCCGACCATCGGCACTTCGTTTTCGATGTCACACTTCGCCAGCCTGCCAGTGTTTCCAGCCGCCGGGAAGGCAGCCCACCACGGCGTTGGTCTCTTAGGCAGCTAGACCGAGACAAGCTCGTAGCCGCCACCATCGTCGCGGCATGGCCAGAAAAAGTTGAAGAGGTTCAGTCCGGAAGGGAAAGCAAACTGGTTTCGAGACACGATGACGCAAATATGCGACTTGTCGATGCCCAGAACCAGTCGCCCCAAGCGTAGGGTGGTATATTGGTGGTCGGCAGAAATCGCACGGGTTCGTGCGACCTGTCTGCGGACTCGGCACCAGTACACCAGAGCCTGAAGGAGGAGAAGGCGAGCTCCGCCTGAGGAGATAGCCAGACTCTACGGGCCATACCGCGCGGCTACAAAGGCGTTGCAATTCGTCATTGTCAATGCCAGGTCTCGGTCCTGGAATGACCTCCTGGAGGGACTCAACGAAGATCTCTGGGGGCGCCCATACAGAATGGTGCTGGGTAAACTCCGGCCCTGGTCGCGCCCCTTGACGGAGACTCTCGCTCCGGACCTGCTGGAAAGGGTGATCAGCACAGTCTTCCAAGAGGACTGATCAAGTCCCTCAAGCTACCCGCCATTATCATGGGAGTGGCAAGATGAGATGGTGGTAACAGTGGAGGAGCTGGACCGAGCCGTTAGCCGCTTAAGAGCCCGGAACACTGCACCGGAACCCGACCGACCGGGACCGGGTCGAGTCCTAGTGCTGAGTCTGGCTAATCTGGGGGACAGGCTTAGGCAGCTTTTTACCGACTGTCTGCGAAGTGCAAAGTTCCCCACGGAATGGAAAGAGGCAAGGTTGGTTCTCTTGAAGAAGGAAGGCAGGGCCGCCGATTCTCCCTCTGCGTACCGTCCCATATGCCTCTTGAACGAGATCGGCAAAGTGTTCGAAAGAATAGTTGCCATTTGGCTCAACGGGCATCTGTCGCGCGTTGGTCCCGATTTGGCTGATAGTAGTTTAACGGTGGTAGAGCCACGCAGCAGTTTTTGCTGTTGCATGTATGGGCAGGCTCGAGCCGGGTTGGTACCGCGACCTCACAGAATACCGGCGTGAAGTGGAAGCTTTGCTTCTGCGTTTCGTCTGGTGAGTGCAGGTGGCCGGAGGCCCAATTCCCCCCCCCCCATCAACATGGTAGCGGAATTACGTCATAAACTACCCCAGGAGGGTACCAGCACCCCTGGAGAATCCCTCGCTGAGCATCCACGACCATGCTATTCCACTCCTGAGCGTGGGTGCTCAGGCTGCCCTGCGTATTATGGGGGGGGGGGGGGTGGCAAAATTCCGCTCAAAAGCATTACTGCTAGGGGCAAACTGAGCAAGAACACCAAGGCGACCCCTGCCACGCTATCCGTGAATTTCTGCAACATCAGGGGACTTCACTCTAACCTAAACGCCGTCCACTACCATCTCGAGACGGCGAAGCCGGCCTTGCACTTACTGACCGAGACGCAGGTTTCCTCTCCGGCTGATATTTCGTATCTCTCCTACCCGGGGTACAAATTGGAGCATTCCTTTGTGCCTCGGGCTGGAGTTTGCGTGTATGTCAGAGAAGACATCTGTTCTCGACGCCTCGGCAGTCTTGAAGGTTCGGACCTGTCCATTCTTTGGCTACGCGTAGACAGCGACGACCATCCGCGCGTCTACGGGTGCCTCTATAGGTCCCATAGCGGTAATGCCGAAACAGACCGACTCATCGACCACGTCCGAATGGCTACAGATTTCTTGCTACAACAGGTCCCATCCGCAGAGATCGTGATCCTTGGCGATTTTAACGCCCACCATGCCGAATGGCTCTGTTCACGTCTAACCGATCATGCGGGGAGATCTGTTTATGACTTTGCCTTGGCATATGGTCTGACACAACTGGTTACTTCGCCTACGCGGATTCCAGATGTGGAGGATCATACACCTTCCCTGTTGGACCTTCTGATGACCTCTCATCCGGATGGATATCAGGTTTCCTTCGATGCCCCTCTCGGCTCTTCGGACCATTGTCTGATCCGGAGTGTGGTGCCACTCACGCTCCCTTCGCGGTTGCGTTCTGCAGGTTGCCGCCATGTTTGACATTACAGGTGGGCGGATTGGGACGGAATGCGGTCCTTATTTGCATCCTACCCATGGCGGGTTTGCTTCTCGCCGGATGATCCCAGCGCTGTTGCTGACTCTGTCACTGATGTGGTGCTACAGGGAATGGAACTATTTATTCCATCATCTGTAGTACCCATCGGAGGCAGATGTCAGCCTTGGTTTGGTCGCTCCTGTAAGACTGCATTACGCAGTAAGCAGGAGTGTTATCAAGCCTGGGCTGCGGCTTCGGCGACTCGTGATGTAAATACCAGCACACTTAAAAAGAAGTATAACTTCGCCTCCAGGTCCTTCAAAAGAGTTATTGCCAAGGCAAAGTCAGAGCACATAGGCAGAATTGGCGAGAAACTAGTTCGCCTTCCTTCGGGAACCCGTGCATTCTGGTCTCTCGCCAAGGCTGTCCAAGGGAATTTCTGTAAGCCATCACTACCATCTCTGCACAGGGAGGATGACTCACTGGCCCATGACGCAAAAGACAAAGCCGACCTTTTAGGCTCCCTTTTTGCGTCCAACTCGACTCTTGATGACGGGGGGAAAACACCGCCGACCATCCCGCGGTGTGAGTGCTCCATGCCGGATGTGCTGTTCTCACACCGCTAGGTTTGCAAAGCACTGCTCTCCCTGGACATCCAGAAGTCGAGTGGGCCTGACGGAATCCCCCCAATTGTGCTGAGGACGTGTGCTCCGGAGTTGGCACCGGTCCTAACGCTCCTACTCCCAAGGCGTAGTCCCGAATTCATGGAAGACAGCTTTTGTCCACCCGATCCCTAAAAAAGGCGACCGCTCAGACCCATCCAACTATAGGCCTATCGCGATCACCTCCTTGTTCTCCAAAATAATGGAATCCATTATTAACTGCCAGCTCATCCGGTACCTTGAGGATCACCAGCTGATTAGTGACCGCCAATACGGTTTTCGTCGGGGTCGATCAGCTGGTGATCTTCTGGTCTACCTGACCCATAGATGGGCGGAGGCAGTAGAGTCCAAGGGGGAGGCGTTGGCCGTTAGTCTGGACATTCGATCGGGCTTGGCACAAAGCGCTTCTTTCGAAGCTCTTTTCCTATGGGCTTCCCGAGAAATTGTGCAATTGGATCACCAGCTTCCTTGCAGATCGGAGCATCAAGGTCGTTGTAGACGGTGCATGCTCTGACTACAAGCCTATTAACGCTGGTGTTCCACAAGGCTGTGTGCTATCACCAACGCTGTTTCTTCTGCATATCAATGATATGTTGCTAACTGGTAACATTCATTGCTATGCGGATGACAGCACTGGTGATGCTCTATACACCGGCCGTGCCAATATTTCTCGGGAAAACGTCGCTGAGTACCGGAACAAACTTGTATGTCTGAAGTCGAGTCTTTGCTGAACAAAGTCTCAGATTGGGGGCGACTAAATCTAGTCCAATTTAATCCTCAGAAGACACAAGTTTGCACGTTTACCGCTAAAAAGAACCCCTTTGTCGTATCTCCTCAGTTTCAAGGCACTCCCCTTTTTGCCTCAGCCAGTCTCGGTATCCTCGAAGTCGACATATCGAAGGACGTGCAGTTTCGTGGTCACTTGGAAGGGAAGGCCAAATTGGCCTCTAAAAAGCTTGGAGTGCTCAGCAGAGCGGGACAGTATTTCAGGCCGGCACACCGCCTGCTACTTTACAAGGCGCAAGTTCGGCCTCACATGGAACACTGTTCCCATCTCTGGGCAGGGGCTCCCCAGTGCCAGCTCCTTCCACTTGACCGCATCCAACGCAGAGCGGTTCGAATTGTCGACGACCGAGTCCTTTCCGATCGGCTCGATTCATTGGCACTGCGAAGAGATGTTGCATCCCTTTGCATTTTCTTTCGCATCTACCATGGGGAGTGCTCTGAGGAATTGTTCGGATTATTCCCAGCCGCCAAATTTCACGAACGCACATCGCGGTAGAACTCCCGATACCATCCACACCATCTGGATGATTGGCGGTCCACCACTGTGCGATTTAGAAGATGTTTTCTTCCTCGCACGACCTCCTTGTGGAATCGATTACCATCAGCGATTTTTCCGGACCGATGCGACTTAGGGACCTTCAAGAAAAGAGCGTACTCCTTTTTAAAATGCCGGCAACGCATCTGCGATTCCCCTGGTGTTGCAGTTGTTCATGGGCGGCGGTAGTCACTTACCATCAGGTGAGCCGCATGCTCGTTTGCCCCCTCTCCTATAAAAAAAAAGTCAGTTTGGATTCCGACGGGAGCATTCTACAGTAGATGCCATCATGCCCGTCCGCTCCCTGTCAGAACAAGCAGTATCCGAGGGTGGTGTGGTCGTTGGCGATAAGTCTCGATATCGTCAACGCCTTTAATTCTCTACCCTGGGGCGCAATCCGGAGCGCACTGACACACCATCAGGTGCCCCCCTAACTGCAAGGTGTTATTGGGCCAGCAGGGCCAACTTCGAGAGGGCCAAAGAGCTCGCCGAGCTTGGTGTGGTAGTCGTCGTCGCCAAAATCCACGAGTTGGGATTAGAAATAGCGCCTCACAAAACCGAGGCGCTATGGTTCCATAAATTACGTCGCGGCTGGGAACAACCCGACTCGTGCGTCCGCGTAGGTGGATCTGAAGTCCAAGGGCGGTACATGAAGTACCTAGGCCTCCACCTGGACAGTCGATGGGGCTTCGAAGGACACTTCAAGCACCTTGTCCCCCGAATTGAAAGGGTAGCGGGTGCTATGCATAGACTGCTGCCCAATCTAGGGGGACCAAGGGAAGAAGTGCGTCGCCTCTATGCAGGAGTGATACGGTCCGTAGCCTTGTACGAGGCGCCTGTTTGGGTGAAAAGGCTGGCCATCCAACGCTGTAGAGCTAAAATCTACAGGGTGCAGCGGAGGATGGCCATACGTATCGTGCGAGGATACCGCACAATATCCTTTGAGGCGGCGACACTCCTTGCTCGCTTCCCACCTCTGGACATACTGGTGGACATGGATGCGAGGGTGCACCACCGGACGCGTGTCCTCCGCCAGAGCGTCGGGAGTGAGCCAGATGAGGTGTTCGAAGAGGTCGAGCGGCAGGAACGAATTAACGCATTCGAAACGTGGCGCGCTCGCCTTTCTGAAGAGCGTAATGCGTGTAAACGCGTTGTTGGAGCAATCCTGTCGCACTTTGAAGCCAGGATGCATCGGAAAACAGGAAGACTCACCTACAGAATTACACAGATAATGACCGGGCACGGGTGCTTCGGTGATTATTTGTGTAAGATTGGACGGGAAGCGACAGCGAACTGTTTCCACTGCGGTGGGCAGGTACAAGACTCCGCAACCCATACGCTGGCAACATGCCCAGCGTGGGAACAGGAGCGGACGGTCCTGGTAAGCCGGATCGGTCAGAACCTCTCCCTGCCGGCAGTCGCGTCAGCGATGCTGAGCAGGGACTCCGCGTGGAGGGCCGTAGCCACCTTCTGTGAATCCGTTATGATCCAGAAGGAGGCTGCTGAGCGGTGTCGGGAGAGGACAGATCCCGCTCGATGACGACGCCGCCAAGGCGTTTGTCAGGGTCCTCCCCTTGATGATGGTGTTCCCCTACTAGAAACGGGGCCTCGGGGCTTACGGGCACTCGGGGAGGGGGCCCCGAGCGTCTAGTGATGTAACACCTGAGGAGGACGGTGACTTGAAAGTGGTCTCGAGCACCGTGATAGCATTGCGAGTGCTGGGGGTAGTAAGGACTGCCCCCGGGACGTGCTTTAATAGCGCAAAGCGTGAGTGGGGCCCCGGTTGCGTTCCGAACGGAGATCCCGGGACCCCTCATATACGCTGATGGAGACCACCGTGGGGTTTTGGCCGATAGGAGTCCGGCATAACCTTTCCGTTGCCCCCGCAACAGAAGGTATCCATGAGGATTTCCCCACGATAAAAAAAAGTTAACATGAGTACTGGTAATGTTATTAGGGTAACTGATATTCCTTTAAAATTCGCTGTCCTATTACTTGTAGTAGCGACTGCTGATCACGTGGGCCCAAGTTCGAATCCCGGGTCGCACCAAAAACCAGTTAATAAATATTTCTAAAAGGAAGTTGGCGATGTTTCCCTTCGCGCCTCGGAAAGTACATAATGCCGTTGATTTTAGTCTTTCCACTTCTTGCGTATTTTAAGTCTGGTATAAAAATAAAAAAATGAGCCTCTCTGGCATTGATGATTTGCTGCTATTAAAAGATGTTAGGTATGTTGAAAGTAGGGTTGGGTATATAAACCAAGTCAAGGTATCGAAACCAGTCAACTACGGTTGGAGATATATTTTTTTATAAGATAAGGGTGACAAACGAGCAGACATTCCACCTGATGGTAAGTGTTTGCTGTGGCCCATAGACATCTACATCTATCCTATATTACAAATCAAAATGCAGATGCGTTTACACCTGTGAGGACTAGGATGGAATGCATCGTTTCCAGTAAAAAGTGTCTCCGGTTCTCTACACTCACCATATGAAACACAGCAGCGTTAAGCTGCTATTTTACACTGGTATTCTGTGAGAGTGTAGTCCTTCCCCGGTTGAGCCGACCCATTCGTGCTTCAACTATACTACTAATATAGCTGCAGCATGGCTCTACCACGTAAAATAATATGTTCAGCGAGCGCAGGATGCCTAACAAGATATCAAAAACTACAGTATTAAATGCATTACTAAAATCTAGCAACGTAAGAATAGAATAGAATAGTAAGCTTTTGTTTCTCTATACAATACCGAATATTATCAGTGATTAGAAAAAGTTCAGTTGCCGTACTATGACGATGTCCTACTTATGTAGACGCTTTGTAATTCCATCAACAATTTTTTGTCCATTTTTGTTGATAGCGTGGTTTAGACTTCAGCGCGTTTCGCGTGTGGCGCGACGAAAACGCCACCACAAGGAAAATCCTTCCTACAACGGGAGAGGTCCATTTTCAGCAGTGGACTTCCACGGGCTAAAAAAGAAGAAGACGAAGAAATAATTGTTTCATTTTAGTAATTCATGTCTTTATGTTGTTAGTAACGAAAATAATTAATAGCTGAACGCCCAAGTATGGCAAGTATGGCTATTTTCAGTAGTGAACTTTTGATAGGCTGTAATGGTAGTCAAGAAATGTAAATATTTATACGCTTTTTACAGCTCTTTATAAAAGTAAACTTTCAAACAAATTTAATTTGCCTTGACACCGCCAATTTTCTGACCCCGGGCAGCTACTGAGAATTACTTGACGGAAAACTCAATATTGCATGTCGTAAGCGCCAAACGCAAGTGTGTTCTGCTAGGGCCAAAAAATTAAGATTCCAACGTTTTGTCGCATGAAATCGTATCTAGCATCTTTCAATCATATTATACATATATAATATGATAAATGATTGTTGAACTTATTAATATATTTTTAAATAGATTAATTTCTATTTTTACATAAAAAAGGGGTTTTAGTGGCTTATGGTGTGGTTTTATCAAGTCTGCATGGCTTTGTAAACACGACAACTTTTGCAAATATCAATTGTTTAACTCAATCTATTTTTAAAACTCTGCACCTCTCATGTGGGAAGCCATGGAATTCAATTGGCAGTTTAATTTTGTTTGTTTAGTTATATTTAATTTTATTGGCTGCAAAATATCGAAATATTAAGTGAGACTGCCTCACTCACTCAGTTAGTTCAGCGTCAATCGCCGTCGTGAGTGGATACTGTACTGATTGTTTGCAGCGGTTCAAAAAGATTTCTGTACAAATACACTATATTCGAAAAACCAAATTTCATACTTGATTATGATAATAACCAGAGATTTTTATTACAATATTTTAGAAACGCAGAATAAATAATAGTAGTTAGCACTAAAAGAAAGTAGGATGTAATATTTTTACTTAAATACGTATGGGACTTTATGGAGTGACCTGAACGGTTATATAATGAACATATGAGCATTATGAGTCGCGCACTTTTGGATTTTCCAAACTTTTTTAAATTGTAGTTTGACATATAATTACCGGAAACTTGGAAGTATAATAAGGTTATTAGTCAAAACGTGTGAGTATTTAAGCTACTTTAAAAAATTCCGTATAATCATGTTACCCGTATCTTTTTAATGTGTTTAAGGCATGCCCAATCGGATTGAGCAATAGTTTTTAATATTTGATTTTTTTTCTGGACCCAGGATTTTAACCCGAGGTAGTTGATGTACTATTTTTGTACTCTCTGTTCTCTTACCTTTATAGTCAGATGGGGCGGCAAGCTGACATGACTGGAGAGAGATATCCAACGCGTGAACAGTGGCTTCTCGTGCTTTAACAAGCACGGGGTGGAAACTCGGTCAACATTCTCACTATAGGCTCTATCAAGAATTTACTGACAGAAAAAGAACAATCATTCACTTAGGCCCGACGCTGGATTCGAACCCAGGATCACATATAAACGCTTTACAAGTATGCCAAAATTGTATATAACCAGTAGTACAAGTTAATAAATAACTACGTGGACGTCTGGAAGATTTACTACGCAATTGCCAAACTTGGCAGGCAAATTGGTGATGTTTTTATGGAAAAACGGGTAACTAATGAGTATACCTAAGAACCATAACCGTATAAGTTAGTTTTTCTTCGATTCAGGATCAAAATTCACATGTGCTGTCGTCGCACTACTGAGGTAAGATGCAATACCGTGTTGCAGTTCCAAATTTTGTTACATTTTTTCGTTTTGGTTCAAATAATAGTTCAACTTCAACTTTTTCGTAAAGATTTTAGAAGAGGTTTCCGGAAATATATCGATTTTAAGATATCGCCTCCAAAATACTTATTGTTTTTATTACCGAAAATATACTTTTGTAATTGTCACTTCAAAAAATCAAACAAGTTAGATCTTGCTGGTTTCGCATACCGGTGAAATAAAAGTGTTTAACGGTTCGAACTTAAAATTAAACTAAAATTTTATTTCTAGTATCAGACTCGCTAACTTTGTCGATGCCTTTTCAATCCAATTCAATTTAGCAGTCAAAAAGTAGTTCCGTCCCTTCTGTATATATTGATATATTTAAGCATCACCATGTTTTGATTGTTATTACGCGCATTACATATGATTTAAAAAGTAATAATACGGATATTATCGCGTTAAATTTTAATGAATCTTTTACTTTTATAGTCATGTGGGACTGAGGTTTTGGAAACTTGGTTTTACAGCATGAACTCCTTCGGAAATTGAGATACTGAAAATTAATACGGGTTGATAATAGTTAAAAGAACGAAAATATAATTATTCTAAATTTTTATTCATTACTACAAATAATTGTCTTCTCATTATTTAGGCTTATGCTGCCTTGGTGCCTGAATAGTTATGATATGTTCTACGACAGCCTATTGT